AATCGCAAGGCAAAGGTGGATAATACATTTATTAGATAACTTTAACAAATAGTAAACATAAGCTAGCTTTTGACACTACACAGGTCTTTGTCAGACTGGGAGTGGTGTAGAAAAAACATAAAAGTTCCAAAAATCTTGGCCAGATGTGTAGGCCAGGCTCCTTGGTTAAAAATAAGTTTCAAAATGGGGACTCCTACCCAGCTTAGAGGTGATAGTTTCATATTGTGCCTCTGACAGTGTGGATTAGAAAATCACTCCCAATGTTTTTAGACAAGGGGTTGCCAGCCACATATTGCCATCATCGCATAGCCCTGCATTGAAACACGTGGTTGTTTTTTGTCTGGGAATAGAGGCACCGAGAAGTGTGGCAAACACTATATCAGATATGTCATTGAGCTCGAGTGGGATCAAGAATTTAAGGCAACATCTTCCTTCAACCAGTAGGTTATGCCCTTAGTTTGACTGCAGTTGAACGCCTCTTAACTGGTTCTGCACTGGGACTAAGGTAGGCCTGTGTGGAGACAAATGTTCTCATGGTTGCAGAAATCTGCTTGGAAGCCTGAAGGCACTGCTTGCTTGAAATTTTAGAAGCCCGATGGATGGTGACTAAAGATGATTTTCTGGGAGTCAGAAAGAAGATGCTTGAACTCATAGCATAGCTATTTGGTTTTCACTATAACCAGTAAAACTTAAAATAATTTAGGCAAAAATAGTAAAATAAATGAAATATATACTACAAGAATTAAATATTCCTTCCCAATTGTGCCTAATATATACAGATTTCTGTTGCTCTTTATATAGAATTTGGATTGCTTGGTCACAGTATTTTCAGCTTTTGCTGCCTCCCCCCTCCCATTTCCCCCATTTACTAAAAACAAATGTTTGACTGAAGGACAGTGAGCCCCAGATTATACCAATACCAGTGAAAACAAACATCCAGTTGTGTAGCCCAACTGTGAAACAACGAACCATTTCTTCAAAATGACGCCACCTGTCCTATTTTCAAACAGACAAGTTGCAGCAATGGGGTCAGTTCAAAGTCACACCAGAAAAGCCACATACCCGCAGCCAGCAAACAAATGAGAGGAGGCGTAACCACTGTCAAATCAACAAAGCCAAAATCAAGACACAGACATTTTTACTGAATACATCAGCGTGCCAAGTGCAAAGGACCAAAGTCAAAGTCATATATACATATTTTGAAAGCCAGCAAAACAAATACAGCAGGGATGCCCGAAGTCAAGGACCCCTCAAAACAAATGTGTTGCCTTCGAAGTTTCTTAAGCCTCTAGCAGATGGTTTTATGCCATTGTTGCCAGACCTGCTTAAGGCCCAGCTCTAACAGCTCAGAGACTTTCAGAAGCATTCCATCTTAGGAGAACTCTCCTACTCCTGAGGAGTCCCCTTCTCCTGTCAAGTGCTTCTAGGCCTGCCTCTTTAGGCACTGAGAGTGGTTCTGCTTCAGAAATTCCATCTAATGGAAGTGGGCCCTCAGACACTCTTCCCGGTGAATAGGACCGAGTATCTGCTTGGGCCTGAGTCTCTACCAATTCCAGATGAGAGCTGCTTGCTGGGACCTTCTCCAACTGTGAGATGATAACAACTGCTATTGTTATACATTTAATGACTGCATACTTAACAGTTGTGCTTCTTCCTGTTTTTGTTAGTGGTGGTGGTGTTTGAAGTCATACTCCCAAATCCAGTCTCATTGCCAGCTCAATGAGAACAGACCCATCGAATCAACTGCTCATGGTAGATCAACATTTACATAAACCCCATTGATTCGATGGGACTTCTCTACTTGGGACTAGAAACTAGATTTAGGATCTAATGAAACGGAGTAAAAGGATCTAATGAAACGGAGTAAACTAATTTTTAAAAAATTCTGAATGCGTTTATGTCTTCAGGCTTTCCCATATTAACAGTGCTGCTCTTCTACAGGTTGTCTTTCCCTTGAACTCATCATTCACAGCTAAAATAATATCTATTAATCACTCAGACAGGGGCTTAACTCAATAATGAGAGCTGCTGCTGCTTTTCTTAGAAACCAGGAATTATTTACTGCTGCATTTCCCAGCTAGTAGCATTGCTGTGTGAGTTATTAAGCATTTCGCATACGTTAACTCTTTGCGAACATTCTAAATTTGACTTCAAAGCCTTCAGAAGTAACAAGAGTTGAAAATAAGCCCTGCAATGTTAAATATCAGTTGTTGTTTTTTTTAAATATTGAGTCTGATCCTGAGTTCTGGGTTTGTCATTGCCGTTTATATCATGCCAACTACCTGTACCAAAAGTTTACAAGCACTTGGATTATCTGCCTCCCCGCCCAATGTACACTTATTGGCACCCTAGTTTATAATCAGATGGTGATGCACTACAGATTCTGGAACTGATCTCAAGGATTTGCTGGGGAGAAAAAATGTGTTTGTTTTTGAAGATCCTCAAGACAAAATTTTGTGTTTGATGACTCCACGGGCTTTAAGTGTCCTTGCATCCCACTCGTAATAAAGCTCCTAGCAATCAGCCCATTTCCAGTCCATGTCAGTTTCATAATCCTTCATTCATAAATACATGCTATTACATTTCTGCATCAAAATGTGGCGATTAGAGATCAGTTTTCTCTTTGTGCACAGTTTTTGCTAAAGCAAAAAGAAAAGTGCAGAATCTGAATGGTGTTGCCCGGTTTTTATGCTGGTCCAGGAGAGGCAAGCCAGGCTGGTTTGTTCAAAAGGGCCGATCAAAGAAAATCTTCAAGCATTCTTGTTTAGAGTATCGGTCACAGTAACATAACAAGGGCAGGGCAATTGGTTTTTTTGCAACAGGCTGTGGAATAAAGAGGATACTGGCAGCCCCCAAATGCTATTCTCTGGACTCTGCATCTTTGGCAGAAGAAAAAGATAGATAAAAGGAAGAGGAGGAAAGTATGTGATGGCAGTAGTAGCCATAGGTGGGCTACAACAATGGAGGCACACTTGTTCCCATAAGAAAAATAAGCAATCACGTCCTTCCTCCTGCTGCCAGAGCTACCACTCTCTTCACTCAGGAGAGGGAGAATGATGCAACAAGCGTATCAACAATCATGCTGAAGGTGCAAGCATCCTCCTGAGAAGAATATGCTGTCAGCCTTTGAAGAGCTGACCTCTGGCAGAGAGCATGAGGTGTGAGATGCATGGCTGCTCCCACCTCTTTTTCTTCTTCTGGGGATGGGCCTCTACTGCTCCTGCATCAGTTGCCGCCTTCTCCAGACCTCCAGATGCCCAGGAATTCTGTTTATATTATGAAAATCATTTCTAGTTTTGCATCAGAATATATCCTTTAGAATGTGCAGTTTAATGCAAATCAGTATCCATTCTTGGCCTCATTTCTGGTGGTGTGAAGGGCCACCTTATTGGGTTCCCCATCTGGCACTGGATTTCTGTGACAGTCAGGCTACTCCAGTCACAAATGAAGTGGACTGTTCTCACCGGCATCCATTTCTGTTAACAAGGCTAACTGCTTACACTCTGGGAAAATCAGAATGTATTGCAAACTAGTGCTGCTTCAAAACCCTTGGAGATACATTTTTTTAAATAAAACGCTGCAGTTAATTTTTCTCAAAAAAAATGTGCTGACGTGAAAAATGTATGAAACCTTTAATAATCTAGCCCAGTGGGAAGAAAACAACTGAAAATGTTTATTCTTGTTGGCAAGAATGAAATAAGTGGAACTTTAAAGGCTTGCTTCTCAGTCTTAGTTCAGAATGGTGCAGGACATATAAAAGGGCACGAGAATCTGGTTTCTGGATTGAGATTGGTGCATGTTGTGATTTCTAGTGAGTTCCATCCCCATGTAAACAGTTCTCGGTTAAGAAGTCAGAAAGAGGCAACATACTGGGCTAGTTCATGAGCAAGTCATGGCAGATCTGCAGGTTGATATTCTTGTTTTGTGATTCTCTTGCTCATGTGGTGCAATTCTTTAATGCTTAGCACAGAGGGATGCTGGAAGTCTCTTCTTAGCAACCTAAGATGGCATTATTTGTTTTTATGGATTTTTTGCTTCACTCTCCAGGAAAAAAAAAGAAACTCTCAGAATGA